GTTTTACCATTCATTTAAACAATAAAAATAAAAATCAATGAAACCTGATAATATTTTGAATAGTTAAATACCATAAATGTAGGTATTAATTCTAAGCAAGAATTCAGAACTTGAAATCAAATTTAAATGAACGCGGGTTTGTTCTCTTTGAGTCGAAAGTACATTTTCATTATCAGTATTTATATTGATGATAATATCAGCCACCATTATCTGCTGTGATCGTTGTGTTGGCATAAAATATGGTTCAGCTTCGGTCACTTGTCTTGGGACAACACAAGGCTAAGTTTTTATTTAAATTGTTACCAAGAAACGGTCAACTTCTGGTACTACGAAGTACTCTATCATCTCCAAAGTGAAAACATTACCAGTTTCCTGGAGTAAACGATTTGTTTCCTTTAACGAAACAAACATTCACTTCACTCAACTCAAATTAACACCAACAACACCGGGCCTTTTGAATGAAGCTATTATTACCTTATTGGTATCCTTTGATTCCATAACTTTTAAGACTTTCTTTGCGTGTTAAGTTATTGGTATACCAGTTGGTTCTATTAATGTAATAGACGTTCTCAACGAATTTCGGGGTCTTACGTCTTTCTCACTCAACTCTTGGATCCAATCACTCAAATCTATCTGGAACTCATATTTCTGTTCAATTGTACTTCTTAATATTGAATGTAGTGACCTTTTTCAATTGTTGTTGAACCTCTTGTATTTATGGCTTGCTTGGAAACCTTCAAAAACACAAATCTAAGGGCTAGACAAGATGACTCGAACGAGGTATTAAGGTATGAAAAACGACATTGTGTTGACTTGCAAACTGGGTCATTTCACTGCTAATATAACCCGTGAAATTGTCCATTGCAACAACAGCTGTTTCTTTTTCAAAATTCAACAATTTCCTTGTCCTTTCAATGTGTGGTATGAGATGGTTTACTGACCACAATTGAATAATTGTTCCACTGACGAACCCAGTTTTGGTATAATAAAATGACCAACCAGGAAAGTCCGCTTTAATATCAGAATATTATTTCTTGTTTGGAAGTACAATTGATGGAGTTACAAAAGCACCATCAAAAGAAACACGAGCTATATATGTGCTACGTTTGCTTGAATAAGACACTCTAAGTTTAATTTCTTCCGAATTCTTGAGTTTTTCATGCTTCTCTTTCTTAACATAAACAAACATATTGTGTTTATCCAATCAATCAGAAAACTGAACTTCATCTACATTGAAAAAAGTGCTGCTGGTGTTCTATTGAACAAATTCAATGCTTTTTAATTGTTGTAAATGTGGATGAAACTAAGTTGATTTCTTTCAATTTATCCGGCACTGCTTTGATTTTCACTCAATCGTTGAAATGTTACATGTGTTTTCTTAAATTATTGTGTGATATTTTGAAGCAAAGATCAATTTATATACAGACGTTTATTATAAGCAAATTTGTTTATGCATTTTTTGAACCTAATGGTATAAGTTTTTCAATAAATACATCCATTCTTCTTGATATTTTACGAAAATGCCAATATGTATTAACGGTGTCGGGGTTCTTTAAATGATCAGAAAGTTTTTGAGGAGTGATGCTGAATAGTCTACTCATAATTATTAGAGAAAAATCAGTATTATTTGAAATAAATTTGATTTGATCTGTCATTTTCAAAGATTCTAATAACGATTGTTTTAATGATTCTTATTTTTTATTGTTTTGAGTAGCTTATTAATAATTATCCTTTCCATTGAAGTTTTTTCGTGGAACCAAAGCATTCATTCTAATTTCTTAAAAATTTAAAGATTTTTTTGCCATTTTTATGATATTTTGTTTTTACAATTTTTGTTTTTTAATTATTTTTTTGTTCTTTAAATAAAAAACAAACTTAAAATGAAACTATAAAAAAACTATAAGGTGACTAATTCTTCCTAATATAACTATATTTTGTCACCCAAACTTTCATTTTTTGACGTGGTTCAAAAACACACCAAAATTTTTTATTTATTATGTTTCTAAAAATAATTAAATATGAATAAAAACACAAGAATTTCAACAAAAGTTAAAATAGAAAAAAAATTTAAATAAAAATTAAATGATCTATAATCACGAAAATGTCCAAACAACTCGAACCATTTTATTTAATGAATGTATTTCTCCACCTTTCAACAAAAGAAGACGTTGTCAATTTCATGTTAATCAACAAAACATTACATTCTGTATCAAATTCTGTTCATATAAACCCATTTTTTACTTCTTTAGATGACATAAACTGGTTTATAAAACATTTCACGCCATCTACAATTAACTTTAATTCGTTGAATATTACAAATTGGAATGTTTATGAATCAATACTTAATAAAAATCGTTATTTTAGAAACGTAAATTTAACCTCCAACTTTCCACTTAAATATTTAGAAAAAGTTGAAAGTTGTTTAGTACCCAAGTTGGATGATGTGTCCCACCTTTTAACATTCGAATTATTCGAACATTTAAAAACAATAGAAATTGATGATCAAATGTTTGTGAAATTTTTTGAGTATTTTGTGACTCTTAACATACCCTTTTGTCATTTTCCAAAACGGATAATTCTCTTTGACGACTCTACAATTGATGACTTAAATCGTGAAATCAAGGGTAATAAAAATCAACTCATCGATTTTGATAAGGTGTCAACAGTAATCCAATTGATGATCAATCAAGCAAAGAAGAAATTTGACGTCACTTTTTACACCGACAAATGTTATAAAATAGCAAAATATAATGAAAGAATAAATAACGATTTTCCCAGTGTTAAAATGTATAACGCCGTTATAAATCATTATGGAAATATCAAGAATAGTATTAAAAAATCAACAAAAAGAAATTACTCATTTATCTTTACAAAAATACCAAGTAATGAAGAAATTGAAAGACTCAATATATTTTTAAATAAAACACTTCCAAACTGTGTGTG